AGAATAACATTTCTATTAATTGTCCACTGAATTATGTGATCTGTAGAGCACCGTCCGTTTTCTTCCACGTGCGCGAGTGTTATGAGTCAGAGCGCGTTAACTCTTTTTCTACACATGGAATATGAAAGCAAATAGACATGATTATGATGATATATTTTCTGTATGTTTTGTATGCAGCTCATGGTATTTTTATAGCAATAAAGCATGTTTATGACGAATATTAGCAGTGTAGCGTTATTAAACATACAAAGAGTGCATGTGTCTGCTTAACCAAAATCAACTATAGCTCACAACTGGAAGTTATTACAAGCACTCGATGATGGTTTAAAGTGGGTAAGCAAATACATTAATAATTACATACATTTTCAAGTGTAGCTTGATGCTAATTGTACTTCTAATTATATTTTAGGATGTAGCCTATTCTTGTAAGCATTGTAGATAGTTTGTTTCTGGTGTAGAACCTTGTTTATCATAATTTAATGCTGTATATTGAGCAGCGGATACGAGATATATATCTGAGGAAAAATGCATTGTTGGTCGGCGCCACCTAGCGTGCAGGCGTGAATTCGCCGTTCGTCTGCGATTCACCTCGCTTTTTCGCATCGTGCTCAGTGTGGAAAGGCCTTAAAAGTTGTTAATATCTAGCTCTAGGGCACTGACTTCATGCAAATTGATGGAGCTGATGAATTATGCGGCCATTCTCGAAAAGACGTAGACCGTCTTTTTGGGGTTAACTAATCCTTTGAGGTTACCTTTTTGGTTGAAACTTTTCTCCAGTGTGAATTTTCATGTGAACTTCAAGGTATCGTTTTTGACTGAAACTCTTTCCACACTGAGGGCAGGTGTAAGGCTTCTCCTCAGTGTGAGTTCTCATGTGTCTGTTAAGGTATCCTTTATGATTGAAACTCTTTCCACACTGTAGGCAGGTAAAAAATCTCTCTGTAGTGTGAATTCGCCTGTGGGCGTAAAGGTTTCGTTTTTCCTTAAAACCTTTTCTACACAGATGGCAGTTGAAGGGTTTCTTTCCTGTGTGAACACTCATGTGGTTATTAAGGTTTCCTTTTCTGTTGAAACTTTTTCCACACTGTTTGCAGGTGAAAGGCTTCTCTCCGGTGTGAATTCTCATGTGAGCTTCAAGATTTACATGTTGACTGAAACCATTTCCACACCAGTGGCAGATAAAAGGCTTCTCTCCAGTGTGAACTCTCATGTGGACTTTAAGGTTTCCAGGATCACTGAAACTCTTTCCACACTGAGGGCACATGTAAGGCTTGTCTCCAGTGTGAATTGTCATGTGCCTGTTAAGGCTTTCTATATGAGTGAAATGGTTTCCACACTGAGGGCATGTGAAAGGCTTCTCTCCTGTGTGAGTTCTCATGTGCCTGTTAAGGCTTCCTTTATGAGTGAAACGGTTTCCACACTGTTGGCAGGTAAAAAGGCTCTCTATAGTGTGAATTGTCCTGTGGACGTCAGGATTTTTCTTTTCTCCAGTTATGAAATCATGAAGAATTTCATACTGATCTTTCTCTTCAGTTTCATTCATTGCTTCCCTCTCTTTCAGTGCCATTAGGTCTAAGGTGGAAAAATAAACAAAAAAAGTTAACCCCAGTTTAATGGCACAAAGTAATCAACATCAAAACATGTAGATATGTAATGCATGTATGCTAGATCCTATACTAGGGTGTCCAAACTTGCTCCTGGTGAGCCAGTGTCCTACATAGTTTAGCTCTAACTTTCCCCAATAAATCTGCTAGAAGTTTCTAGCACTTTAATGTATTTTAATGTTACACCTTCTTATTTAAAATAAAACAAAGCAAAGAACAAGTGTCTTATTTATTATAAAACGTAGCATTATACATCACTTTGTTGTTGTTTGATCTATTAGGCCTTGTCCACACTTATACGTTTTCGTTTGAAAAAGCATCTTTTTCTCTTCATTTTGGCCTTCCGTCCACACTGAGACAGCATTTTTGTCAAGGAAAACTGAGCTTTTGAAAACACTCTCCAAAGTGGATGCATTTGAAAACACACGTTTTCGTGTTGTAGTGTGGACTGTGAAAACGATGATGCATGTTTCATCATGTGATGCATATTAAACCAATAGAAATCTGTGTTTATACTTGTATTGTGCCTGTTATGTGCTATTCACTTTCACACTGTTGCCAAAGATGTGTCAATTTGTACACTCCTCATATCACAGTCCTGCAAAGATGACAGAAAATTTACTCGTGATTGCAGTTTGCTGATGAGGGCAGTTGCGTTTTAGATCAGACATATAATGGTGTGTGAGAGTGATGTGAATGGTGAGATATTTCGGTAAATAAAATGACCGTACCAGAAGAATAGCATGAAAACGTCTCAGGTTACACATGTAACCATAGTTCCCTGAGAAGGGAATGAGACACTGCATCCTCTAGCGGTCACTATGCGGAACGCCTTCAGCGTGACCGGTGTCTGAAGCAGGTGTCTAAACACGACAATAACATTGGTGGGTGACAGCCTATGACATCACTACCGGCGCAACCACAGTATAAAAGGGCGCCGATAGAACACGTCATCGGCTTCTTCTTCTGAAGCTTGCGTCCGAGGCATGGCAAGAAAAGAGGATGCAGTGTCTTGTTCCCTTCTCAGGTAACCATGGTTACATGCATAACCTGAGATGTTCCCTTCCGAGAGCTGCACCCTCTAGTGGTTGCTATGGGGAATGAAATACGCATGCCAAGCACCATGAGGAGCACTAAGTTCCAACTCTACCATGGCCATGGGAGTTGCCCCTTGGACGCACATGCAGCTGTCAGTGACAGTATCCCCTTCAGCCAAAGGCCTGAGCTACATACCCAAAATAACTTACCTGTTAAGGGCTGGCCAAAAGAAGCCCGGTTCCAGGTAGGCCTATGTTTTTTGCTCGTTGCTGTCTCATACTTTTAGATACGCTGTTATTTGTAAATGCTACTGCTTATGTTAGCTTTTAATATACGGTTTTATCCTGATTAAAGCTTTAATACAGTACGGCAACTGCACGCGTGTCTATGTTTAACGCTTCTCATAGCTATGTGAAAATAAGTGTATAATTGTAACAGTTCATTGTTGAAGCTGAGCTGAGAGAGAGAGAGAGAGAGAGAGATGCAGAGCGTGTGCAGAGCAGGGGTACACGAGGAACAGTGTTAAGAACCGCTGCTTTAGAACATTGGTTTTGAAACTTGTGAATCCATTAGAATCGTTAGAAGACAGAATCGTGATTCATATATGAATAGATTTTTACGTGCACCTCTAGTTTTCTCTTCCTCTTCTCTAAAGCAGCACAACATGGCCTCGCCCCCTTTGCTGCCTTTTCCCGAGGGCGGGGTTTATCTGGGTTTGTTACGTCACGAAAGACGATATCTCCGTTGGCATTGAACTTTCAGCTTCGTAACTTTGCAGATATTGTTTATGCTCAAACAGCAACATTACACACTAACGTTAAAAAAGTGAAATCGCAATCAACCACTCCTTTAAGGGGATATGGCCAGGCGTCTAGGTTCACCATATTACCAGACCCTGGCCTGTCAACCCGGGGGAATAATACATCTACCCCTAATTCTCCCAGGGGGCTTCTCGTAGGATCTCTCACCAGATGCCTCGAGCTGGAAGCAAATACCTCCGCAATCAGATGGGAGACTTTAATGGTATCACTAAAGATGCATATGAAGAATGGGGCCCAAGAGAACTGGGATCTGAACCAACTCGGAGAAAGGGTACGATGCTGGCAGCGCGGGACCCTTACCATAAAGGATTTTAGAAAGTGTGCAGGATGTTAGCATGTGCATTTACCATAGATATGGGTTTCAGAAAGTGCACAGAAGTGCACTTACCATAAACATGGATTTTAGAATGCCATTGATGCCATTGTTGAGGCCATGAAGAGGCCTAGCAATCTGGCATGACTGCCTCATGGAGCCTCTTGCACCTAGGGGGCTCTATTCCTAGATTAAGCTCCTGGAGTGGCATACCCATAGGAGACCCTCAAGTTGAGAGGAGCACCGCCAACTCAAACATAAGGGCAGTCACATGATGGGAGCAGCATGATCATAAGTGACCCTGTAATGAAGGGAGCAAATGCCAGGCTCAAACACAGGCAGCCGTCAAGGAGGCTAGAGACCTCATGGAGCTCAACAAAATGGAGGACTCAACTCTCAAGTGATGAGAGGGGAACTCAGACACTCATCTTGGGAGTGGTGTGCTCATAGGCAACTCTCTAGAGTGAGGGGAGCACTGCTAAGCTCAACAATAAGAGCAGCCTAACAGGGAGGCAAAAGATGGCCTAACAACCTGGTATGGCTGCCTCATTCAGCTCCAGGGAGCCGAGGACTCGACGCTCAGAAATGAGAGGGGAACTCAGATTCTCATCTTGGGAGCGGCGTGCTCATAGTAGGGTTGTGACAGTGAGGAAATTTTCCCACCGGTTAATCGACGTGTGACAACACCGGTAATACCGGTATCCCCCGGGGGCATTCCCTCTTTTCCTCGCTTTCCTTCGCTTTTAAAAGCGGCGTGCACATTTTACTTTCACTTTCAAATAGCGGCAATTCGGAGTAAAGCAATTGTTCGTTTTTAGTTCGTTTGAATTTTCCCTCTTTTCCTCGCTTTCCTTCGCTTTTAAAAGCGGCGTGCACATTTTACTTTCACTTTCAAATAGCGGCAATTCGGAGTAAAGCAATTGTTCGTTTTTAGTTCGTTTGAATTTTCCCTCTTTTCCTCGCTTTCCTTCGCTTTTAAATAGCCGTGCGAATTAGCGGCAGTTCGGCGTCAATTGCATGAATGCAACAATTAGACACCGGTCACGCCGAAGGCATTTCCCATAGCGACCACTAGAGGAAGTTTGAGTTCCTTCGGAAGAGAAATTAATTTGTCTGTTTTGTCTGTATCGTCTCAGTGAGCTGTTTGAGGCTTTACGCATGTGCAGTAAAGCGAATTTAACGTTTTCTGATGTTTCAGTGTGGATGAGAATCTTTTGGAAAATGCTTTAAAATGCTAGTATGGATGGAGAGTGTTTTAAAACAAAAACGCCGTCTTCATGTGCAGGGCTCCAGACAAAAAATCAACTAAGGAGCCATTGGCTCCTATAAGAAACAAAACTTTTTTTAACACTAACATTTCAGTCATACTGTCATGTGTTTATGTCTAATCTTTTTACGTCTTTATTAGCATTTTTGTAGATGTCCTGGGAACTAAGGTTCACTCAAAGTGTGAACTAAACGTCTTTTCCAACTTGAGAACTATATACAGTCAAAGAATTGTTTATTACACAGAATCTGTGCCAATGTCATGGACCATAATGTCAGCATCAGTTGGCCATTGAGTGAAGTTTGGGATCCTCCTCAATGCATCCTATAAATGCTGACATACGTCTTTCACACATCCAGTCTGTTTTTCTTCATTAGTAACATGCAATTACAGTATAGGAGGCGTTGAATTTTATTTTTAGCTCCTTGCATTCTCTTATCATGTAGACAACAGGTTAAGCAAAAATATGAATAAAGCACATAAATTTAGCAAAAAATCCTCTTTTTTTCTAGCTGACTGATGATATGGACGCAGAATGGTTATTCTGAGGTAAATGATTGTTACGTGACATTGTTTACAAGCTTTACATGTTTTCCGCAGTTTGAAACACCGAATGAGCGATTACATGAGACATTTCAGTAAGTTGTACTGTAGGCTATCTTATAAAATACTTTTTGACGTTCATTCATGTTATAGTAGTAAAGAGAAAGATATGATAAGTTCACGTGCCGCTTAAACTGAGGCGCTAAAGCGATATCGATCATGCTGCATTAAAGGAGCGACAAAACGTATTTATTGTTTGAATTTCGTTGTGAATTTGGCAGAATTTTAAAGCTGCCTACTTTGTTTATTAAAAAGTAACAAAGCTTACCGCGATTATTGTACGGCTAGCGCGCTACAAATAATATGAACGTCACACATTAACAGAACACAGCATATAGATTAAAGTTCTAGAAAACAAAAAGTCATATCGATTATAAATGCGAATGTTAATGTCCACACAGCTGACAGCTTTACCTGTTGTAGTTTGTTCAAGTTGTGCATGAAATAGACACTGCTTTTTTGCACTGTTACTTGCACGTCTCTTATCATTTCGATCTCTCTCGCGCTGCACAACTGGAGCTGCTTTTAGCAGGTGTGCCGTCAGAGATGAGGACGGTTTATTAGTCTTTCACTAAAACTTTGATGCACATCGTCTCGGTTTATTACGTCAACATAACATAAGATGTGATCGTAAAACAATCAGGAAAGAAGGCAAATTTTCAAGTCATAACATGTACATTTATATCGTCGCCAGTGGTGACCTCAGCAAAACGTTCACTCGAAAATTAATATTTTTGGTCACAAATGCGACCCTTTTAGTTGCAGTCTGGAGCCCTGATGTGTATCTGGATTAATGTAGACGTAGACTTAGTGTCCACTGGCTGTTTTATTTGCTCACCAAATACCTTTAAATGAACAAATGTAGACGGCATGCAGTAGCCAAATGTAATCACTCACATTTCAAGGTTTGCTTCATGCTAAATAAATGATTTTCTTTGATACTTTTGCAAAATTAAGCACTAGAAATAAATGGTTTAAATTTTAGAAGCAGATATTAGGTTTAATGTTACAGAAAAGGTATATATTTTTTGTTTAGGCTAATTCTGTATTATTGGCACAACTCAAATGCACGATGTTATAATAACAAATGTCCAATGTGAAAGCAGGATCTTCTTATTTGTCTGTCATGTGATCTCAACATGTCTGTCGACAAACTGCTTTAATTACTACACTCGTGTGACATTCTTCACCAATATCATTCATTTCTGTAGAGATTTAATAAGGATCAAATGAGTGAGTTCAGCTTTGAGAATGAAAACCAACCTGTTTGTTCCTCAGTATCTTCATGTTTGACTCTGAATGTTTCTTCAATCTTCATGTCTTCACTCTCTTTAATAAATGCCATCTTTATAATCGTGAGTCAAGTGGATCTGTCGCTTCAGCAGGAGTTTTTCTGTGTGTTTGGACACTTTTTCCTGTTTAAGATGAGTATAAATAAATGCAAAAATAAATGCAAACTAAATCTCGGAGTTGCATCTCTAGTTCAGTAGTCCGTGCACTGATAAGGGAGTCAGTCAGAGTAAGAGTTAATGGACTTAAATGACCAGATTAAAATATATATTATACATAACGTTAATATTAGGTATTTATGATTTATACTTGGTATTCAATTATATTCTTATTCTTATTATATTTGTACATAATATTTAATAGATTATACTCTCATGAAAACATTAGCAGTTTGTAAAAATTGCCATTACACAGTTTGTGTTTATTGTTCTCGTTCATCGTCAGCGTGCGCTGATTCGAATCACTGAATCATTTTACGAATGACTCGGTTCAGATGATTCGGATTCTCAGTTTCTCTCTTTTTTCCAGTACTTGAACGATGTACTTATTCACGAAATAATAGGGAGCGAAATGATAGCAATAAAGTATTACAACGTTTTATGTAAGATTGATTGATTGATTCATTTTTCGTAACTTGTAAAAACATATAAATTGATAGAACAGTTTGCATTGATTTAAAATACTTAAAACCCACAAACCTTTCTTCAGCCGAATCACAACAAAAGCTGGGAGCGAGTTAAGGCTAGAAGGGACGCGGCTTTATGACGTCACATTGCCAGAGCAAAATAAAAGTCCTGTTTACACACTGATGTCTATTATATGCATATGATAATACATTTCCAGTTATTAGTATCGTAAATCTAGAAATTCATATATTTTCTTTTTTTAATTAATGTACATTTACAACACTAAACATTGTTTTTTTCTTACCTTGCCATTAAATTACATAAAACTATTTAACGCTGCTGTGTAAGTGTTTCTATACAAAGGCTGAGGGAGTGACTGCAAATTTGACATCTTTCACTCTTTTGACTAATCAATCTCTTGTTATTTATTTACTTTTTTTCCCTCTTTTGGAAAGTCATTGAAACACCATCATGGAATTTGTATTCTTTTGCTATTGCGGCAAATGAGAACACACAAATATATTTGTTGCAGTTTCAATTCATCACTATAGAATTGTTATTTTTTTATTATATAGAATTTATTATTACTATAGAATTTATTTACACTCTTATGATGACTTTCACTTCCGAGAGACCCGGAAATGTGAAAAGGGTCTATACGCAGACAAGATTAAAACAAAAACAAAAAAAATCAATGTCAATGTCTGTTGCATGAAGTTTGTCAGTCACCTGCAGAGTTAAGAATTTGGGATGAAGGACGTCCTAAATACATACAGTACATTTAATTTGCCAGAAGGACAGTATCTGGCAGGATACTCCTCAATTTCTTCCTTACCCTTTAAAATTTAGGAAATAAAACCTCAGATGAACAACATCACATGACATACTTCAACGTGTCATTATTTATTTAGCAAAAATAAAGCCAAGATGGAAAAGCCACGTGTGACAAAGTTAGGATGCCCTATGATTCAACTGCCTATAGATCCACTTTTAGCAATAACTTGAAGTAATCATTTTCTGCATGACTTTATCAGTATCTCAGATCATTCTGAATGATGATTAATATTCATGACCAGTGCTTGACATTAACACCCGCCAACCCACCAAATGTGGGTGGATTTCAGCAGTGGCGGCCCTGCAAACATGTCCTTGCGGGGCCCATGCTGGCTTTTTGCGGGCACAGTGGGCTAGGGCCAGCCCACACCAAACCTAAACAGGCCCAGTGCGGGCTTGCCCAGGCGAGGCCCACAGCTTTGGGCTCACTCGCAGGCTCTCTGTGAGCAGGCCACAATAGCGGACTGCCCACATTAATCCCATGATGGGCCAGTGTTGGCCAGCCCGTTCGGGCCCAGAGCAACTTTTGTATCCTTTGGGCCCATGCAGGTTTTGTGTAGGCAGCCCTGTAATGCAACTAGGAGAATACAAACAACATTGACTGGCCATTCTTTAGCCACTCAATTGAACTGGAATGGCTCAAACCAAAAGAGACCTTTTCAGAACCTGATGTTTCATATAGGCCATGGATCTGGCTCACGAGATCCACTTTCCTGCAGAGTTCAGTTCTAGCCTTAATCAAACACACCTGAGCATGTCTTCAGGATCATTAGAGAATCACAGGTGGGTGAGTTTGATCAAAGTTGGAGCTAAACTCTGCAGGAAAGTGGATCTCACGAGCCATTTTTGAGGTGGAACAGACATGAGCCTGTTAATAAGAATTTTGTGGGCAGTTTTCTTCCTTACCACTAGGGGTGCTAGGGTGTTTTAGGTTTCCTTAAGTAAAGCCATGTGGTAGAGAGGGTTAGCAATAGCAAGCAGCAGTAGCCAGCATGGCTCACCTGCTGAACAAAGTGGCTGTGTTCGAAATGGCATACTCAATGAGTATTGATGACACAATGATTATATTTTATTATGAAAACCCCAAGTTGTTGTTTTTTGAATATGTTGTTAAGTTTTTTTTTTATATGTAAATTTTAATCTTAAATCTTCTTTGTTTTCCTCTTTTTTCTTGTAACTCTGTTTCATCCCTCAGGCTTATAAATAGCAACAACAACAACAAATGCAATATTTTGATGCTTTATGATTATATGAATATTATGATTATTCAAAGATATTTACCTTTGATAATTGTGCCTTTTTTTTCTGTGTATATAATCTCATACTATGATGTACGCAAAGCCATTATAGTTATGTTTTCTGTTTCTTGTCATTATGATTGTTCATTGTTAAAGATGCAACCATCTTTCCCTGAGCTTGTATGTAATTAAAAGTTCTGTTCAATGTTTGAATAAAGCTTTGTTTCATGTGTCGATGACTTGTATTTATTTATTGTCATGGTTATTTTTATTCTTTTACTCATTTATTCATGTTTCCTGTTGTTGTCGTCAGTAAATAACATATAATTGTTTCATTAACTTATGCATTAATTCATTACTTGACTGAAAATTGAGATGTATTCACTTTGGCTGCATTTGTCTCGTGTGTATTCATGCATAGCTGTGGCATATGACAAAACTAATTACATTTTGCTCGTTTTACTAAAATGATATATAAAATTAATTAATGGTCAGCATTTATCATAATTATTGTAAGTGTTGGGGTGGGCTAGCAATGCATTCTGGAGTAATCTTATTATTATTCTTATTATTTTTTAATTAGTAATTCTGACATTTTTCCAGGATAAAATCAGCAGTCTTCTCTCTTCTATTGAGGAAAACCGTACTAGTTAGGGTTGCCATGTTACTGATGCTATGAGGTGTTAGTGCACCTCTCTTATCTTCTTTTGATTATTATTACTGCTGAACTTATAATTACATACAAGCTCAGGGAAAGATGGTTGCATCTTTAACAATGAACAATCATAATAGAAAACATAACTATAATGGGTTTGCGCTCATAGTATGAGATTATACTCAGAAAAAAAAGCCTAAATATCTTTGAATAAACATCTTTGAATAAACATAATATTCATATAATCATAATGCATCAAAAAACTGCATTTGTTGTTGTTATTTATAAGCCTGAGGGATAGGAGTTAAATTAAACAAGAAAAAGAGGAAAACAAAAGAGATTTAAGCCAGTTTTGCATGTGGATGAACTATTTTGCACATAAAATAAAGAAATTAATAATATATTCAAGAGGTAATGATTTTGGGTTATCGTAATAAAAAAAATAATACATTTAAAGATTAAACTGTGGGTCATATTAGTAGAGTTAAAAATTTAACTTAAAAACTTAAATCAACACAAAATGTATTGGTTATACTACAATCACAATAAAAGTGCAGCTGTTTCTTCAACAAGACCACAAAATGAGCAAATTTCATCAACATCAAAATATTTACAGATAGATGAATTAAACCGGTCACTCCTATCTTTTAAGTTGTTGCGCTTATGTCGTAGGTCACATGATAACGTCAACATGGCGGATGATGTCTGGATCGCATTCATACTCAACGAGATTTGGCTGTAGAGTACCTACTTCTTCAAATTAAGTACCTACTCATTGAGTATATGGTTTCGGACACAGCTCATGTGTGTGCTCAACTCAGTTGTGCAGGAAGGCCTATTATAAGGAAAATCTTTTGTTCTACAGCTCAATGAAAGTTGTATTTATTTTGTTACTCTGTTTGTCATTATTGTGATTTTTGTATTCTGATTTGTGTTTTACATATTTGTTCAGAGGGTTTTCTTTGGGCCTCCTTGTTCAAGTACAGTGCCGTGAAAAGGTTTTTGCCCCCTTCCTGTTTTTTAAATTTTTTGCATATTTGTCACACTTAAAAGATTCAGATCATCAAACCAATTTTAATATTACGCAAAGATAATGCAAGTAAATACAAAATGCAGTTAAACAATTCTGCAAAGAAGAGTGGGCCAAAATTCCTGTGAAAGACTCATTGCCATTTATCGCAAACACTTGATTGCTGTTGTTGCTGCAAAGGGTGGCACAACCAGTTATTATATTTAGGGGGCAATTACTTTTTCACGTAGTGCCAGGCAGGTTTGGACAGCTTTTTTCCCTTAATAAATGAAATCATAATTTCAAAACTGCAGTTTGTATTTACTCAGGTTATCTTTGTGTAATATTAAAATGTGTTTGATGATCTGAATCTTTTAAGTGTGACAAATATGCAAACAATTAAAAAAAACAGGAAGGGGGCAAAAACTTTTTCACACCACTGTATATGAACATTTCAATGGGACTATGGTTTGATACCTGTACATCTGAGATCACTTCTTTCCTGGACTATTCTTTATGGCTTGGAAAACTTCATGTTGGACTTCTACTACACAATTGCTGAACTGTTGAACCATCGCAAGATACTTACCTTTTACTTAAACTGTTTTGGATTCATGAGAAATTGACTTTACAGCTGCCTGAATTTGTTGGGACTGAAATGCTTGATGTGATATTTTGCTGATAGTCTTGCTCTTGTATCTTTGTCTATCTACACTCCACTTGTTTGTATGTTATTGGCTCTCAGTTCAAATACACTTAGCTCTGCTCTAGGATGAATGGATCCCCTTCATTCTTTGTGACCATAAGAGAGCTGTTACAAAGGTGGATCAACACCTGCAGACAATACAAGCAAGGAGTTGGGTTGCATGCAGAGTGACTAAAATAATACCTGTCAATGTCAAAATAATGATGAAGACACATTTATGGACTGTGTCTATCATATTGACAAGACTGAAGATGTCAGTCATTATGGCAAGTGTTCCTGATGAAAGTGAATCAGAATCTGATCCAACTTGAATTCACTCCCCAACATATAATGTCACCAAAGTTTAAATCAGCCAAAAGACTTGAGGACATTGCTAGGAACAGTGTGTTTGAACCCTGAAATACAAGACAAGGCTGGTGGCCAGTATTACCATTTCGGAGTGCTGAATTCAATTACACGTAGGGCTGCACGATAAATCGAAATGGAATCGAGATCGCGATTCGACTGAAGCTGCGATTGTCATGCGTACCTTTCAGTGAAGCACGGTTCTGTGATCAGCAGTAAATCTCCATCCGAAGGTCAGAGGGCGCTCTCGCGCTGAAACTCCAAATACGCCTCGCAGAAGAAACCCAGGAAATGCCTATCGCTGCAGCTGAATAAACAGAAGATTCAACTGCTTTCATTGATTCAACGTGACTAATAAACACACGACTACGGGCAAACAGCTGTCATTATCACGAACGATTTCTTCGATTTCATAACTTGTCGGAGAACTACGGCTATGTGTAGTAAATTCTGCTCCATCTGAAAGCACGTCATGATGATTTCCTGCTGATTACAGAACCGGCATTACTAACAAAATGCGCATGACAGCATTACTAACAAAATGCGCATGACAATCGCATTCGATTAATCGTGCAGCCCTAATTACACGGATGTGAAAACTGCACACAGGATGGTGTGTACCTAGAAAACAGAATGACATTTCCTTTAAGAACAAGTGAGAGTTTTAAAAACAAGACAGATTCTGATCATTCTGCAGCTTTCAGCCAAACCTGAACTAGCAATTACATAGAGATTCACAAGGTTTTTAAAGCGTTTATGAACAAATTAGGCAAATGATTCACTGAGCAATTCATAATAACAGTAATTCGCTTAATTTCTGAATGAATCAGCGGTTTTGAACGGATCAGTTAAAGGATTCACTGACTCAATCATTATATTAGCACAATACTGTAGGGTATCATGGTACTACTTTGTATCGTGATACTTCAGCTGGTATAGTGTCGTAAGACCTAACCCTAGTACACTGCAAAGCACTCCTACAACGAGTTTTCCAATGACGCTTCAGGTCTCTTTGATACGTGAATCTCTCTTTACACTGAAGACACATGAAAGGTCTCTCTCCAGTGTGAACTCTCATGTGAGTCTGAAGGTTTCCTTTAGATGTGAAACTCTTTCCACACTGAGTGCAGGTGAAAGGTCTCTCTCCAGTGTGAATTCTCATGTGAGTCTGAAGGTTTCCTTTAAGTGTAAAATCCTTTCCACACTGATAGCACATGAAAGTCTTCTCTCCAGTGTGACTTATGACATGATTCTCAAGGTGTTTACGGTCTGTAAAAGTCATTCCACACTGATGACATGTAAAAATGTTTTCTCTTGCGTGAAGCCTCATGTGCCGTTTAAAGTTTGTTTTGTGTCTCAAACTCTTTCCACACTTATCACATGTGAATGGCTTCTCTCCAGTGTGACTGTTCCAGTGATACCTTAGGTTAAGTTCTGTTGTGAAACTCTTTCCACACAGTTTGCAGATGTACGGCTTCTCTCCAGTGTGAATTCTCACGTGCCTTTTAAAGCTTCCATGATGAGTGAAACCTTTTCCACACTGACGGCAGGTGTGTGGCTTCTCTCCAGTGTGGATGCTCATGTGCTTTTTAAAGCTTCCATGATGAGTGAAACCTTTTCCACACTGAGGGCATGTGTATGGCTTCTCTCCATTGTGAATTCTCATGTGCCTTTTGAAGCTTCCATGATGAGTGAAACCTTTTCCACACTGACGGCAGGTGTATGGCTTCTCTCCAGTGTGGATGCTCATGTGGCTTTTTAGGCTTTCTTTTTTTCTGAAACTCCTTCCACACTGCTGGCAGGAGAAGTCACTTATCGTTTCTGTTTTTTTAGCTCTTTTTCGCGAGGAAGTCTTTTCAGTCTGTGAGCAACTAAATGATTTTTCTCCAGTTGTGAAATCATGATGGTCTTTCTCTTGCGTTTCATTCAATTCCTGACTCTCCTCTTTCATCGCCATCAGGTCTGAGGTGAAAAGAGACACATACAAGTTAACAATGGCACAAAACAAAAGACATCGAACATTTAGTCATGTATGCAGAATCAAATACCCACTAAGTTCAGAACCTCTTCACCATATTGTTTAGTCTTTAAATTGTTATCAGTCAGGATTTAAGCCTAATTGTTTAAGCTTAATAAATTTAGAAACAAAAAACTTGCTTTTGGCACCTAGTCATGGCATCTTTCTACAAGTGCTATTAGATTTTTCAACAACTCAGGCAGTGGTGCCCGCTCAGGAACCCCCTGAGGTGGTGGTGCCCGCTCTTAAGGTTCCTAAGGCGGCGGTTCCCGCTGACAGTCTTCCCGAGGCGGCGGTGCCGGCTCACAATTCTCCCGAGGCGATCCTCCCGAGGCGGCGGTGTCAGCTCACAATCCTCCCGAGGCGGCAGTGTCCGCTCACAATTCTCCCGATTTCCCGAGGTGGCGGTGCCCGCTCACAATCCTCCCGAGGCGGCGGTGTCCGCTCACAATTCTCCCGAGGTGGCGGTGTCCGCTCACAATTCTCCCGAGGCGGCGATGCCCTTCATCGCCATCAGGTCTGAGGTGAAAAGAGACACATACAAGTTAACAATGGCACAAAACAAAAGACATCGAACATTTAGTCATGTATGCAGAATCAAATACCCACTAAGTTCAGAACCTCTTCACCATATTGTTTAGTCTTTAAATTGTTATCAGTCAGGATTTAAGCCTAATTGTTTAAGCTTAATAAATTTAGAAACAAAAAACTTGCTTTTGGCACCTAGTCATGGCATCTTTCTACAAGTGCTATTAGATTTTTCAACAACTCAGGCAGTGGTGCCCGCTCAGGAACCCCCTGAGGTGGTGGTGCCCGCTCTTAAGGTTCCTAAGGCGGCGGTTCCCGCTGACAGTCTTCCCGAGGCGGCGGTGCCGGCTCACAATTCTCCCGAGGCGGCGATGCCCACTCACAATCCTCCCGAGGCGGCGGTGTCCGCTCACAATCCTCCCGAGGCGGCGTGCCGGCTCACAATTCTCCCAAGGTGGCGGTGCCCGCTCAGGTTCCCCCTGAGGCGGCGGTGTCCGCTCACAATCCTCCCGAGGTGGCGGTGCCCACTCACAGTTTCCCCGAGGTGGCGGTGCACGCTCACAGTTCCCCCGAGGTGGCGGTGCCCGCTCACAGTTCTCCCGAGGCGGCGGTGCCCGCTCACAAGGCTCCCGAGGCGGCGGTTCCCGCTGACAGTCTTCCCGAGGCGGCGGTGCCCACTCACGATCCCCCCCGAGGCTGCTAGGCCCGCTCACAAGGCTCCCGAGGTGGCGGTGCCCGCTCACAGTCCTCCCGAGGCGGTGGGGCCCGCTCACGATGTTCTCGAAGCGGCGGTGCCCGCTCACGATCCTCCCGAGGTG